TAAGGTATAACATCAACATAATATGTATAAAATAAAAAAACTAAACTCACTGCCATTGAGTTGATCCTGACTCATAGCAACCCCTCCTTGGTTTTCTGAGGCGATATCACTACAGAAGTAGATTGCCCAACCTTCCTTCCAAGGAGTGGCTGGTGGATTTGAACCACTAGCCTTCTGATTAGCCGTTAAATGTCTTAGGCACTATTCCACCAGAGCTCTCTATAATATGTATATATTTATGTTAAAATGCATACATGTAAGTATATAAATAGATGTAGATGCATTTTAATATATTTAAATGTCTTTAAATATATGGGAAAGAATAGAATAAAATGAAAGAAGGGAAACAGAAATCTTTTCTAAGAATGTCTTCATCACGCCAAGAATTCCTCTTCCTCTCCTTTCTACAAGCACATCTCTGAAGCATATAGACACACTCATTTATTTGTTAATCATATTTGGATAGGAGCCAAAAGATAAACCCTTAAGTTTTGATAATGTGCCAAAACAAATTAAAAGAAATCAAGCTAAAAATGGCCGACAGCTCAAGGCTTCCCAACCTGAGATCACAATTTGTATAAACAGTCAAACAAACTGGTGAATTATTACCACATTTTAAGTACAATTGTGTGTGTGTTTAGTGATACAATTAGTTCAGCAATTTCAAAATAACCACTTAAATTAATATCAGCATGCTTAATACTTAAGTAAGTTTTTAAGGCTACCTCCAAAGCCCAGTCTGGTGTCATCTCTGTGACTTTCGAGAACTCAGCCAAGTTAACTAATGGTCCCCATCAGTCAAAGACAGAAGACTCTGCAGATAAATTTTCTAGGATCACCTTAGAGTAACTAACCAAAAGTGTGACTCCATCCAAGATTTACTCACATGAAGCTTCTTTTATAGAAGGGCTAGAAATCATGGCATGGGAGACTTTCATTTGAGTGTTCCAAATGTAGAGGCAAGTAAATTAGGACCTGTAGAGTCAACAAATGGCCCTATCACTCAATAGGGAATTATTTGGATAGGACTCAATGGCAACAAGTAGAGTGTCTAATGATTTTCAAGGGAAATTTAAAACAGATGCTCTAAGTGTCCAAGATGTAAATAGGAAACAACCTTTGCAGTTGGTAGAGTAATTTAAATCTCCTCTATATAGGAAAGATTGCCAAAAGCCAGCCAAGAACACTGTTTGGAAAATCATTCAAGGGACTGTGCCTACTATCTGGCTGTATTTTTAGCTTAATTTGAAAGCAATTTCTAATCAGCATCTCAGAAGAAACATCATTATGAAGATGTCCTCCTTTGGGTAATTAACCTGGACTAAAAGAGGGCAGAGTGTTATTTTCCAAAACTGTGGAAATTTGCCAAATTGTATCATTACAATTGCATTCCATTAAAGATGGGTCTCTACTGACAGAAGTGCTAATCACCACCCAGTGAATTCCCATCCCCCCTTGCAGTGATAAGTTGCTCCCAGGGGCAGAGCATCACTGTAGCCTGGCTGAGATCATGCTCCACAAGCACAAAACCAGATCACAGTATTACCCATCCAATTATTTCCTCCACTACCAAGCTACGTCTTTCAAGTAGAATGACCACATGATGATCCATCGGCATGATGATATAGATCAAAAAGGAAAAGACAAGAAACAATACAACTTATTCTAAGCCACCTAGCAAGTACCAGGAGTGATTTTTTTCTATCATGCAGCATGATGATAAATTCACTTTTTAAGATTATCATTAAAATTATATCACATCTGACTGTGTGTATCTAAAAGTCAAGAATGTCAAACTCTCTGTGCTTTAGGTTAGTGACTTTTGAATTAACTTTTATCCCGATGAATATCCCATTTCCAATTGCATTATCCAATCAGTGTTTCTACATACTGATATATATATACATTGACAGACTTCTTCCTTGAAGTTTTTAGCATAATGATTCAGTTGCATATTACATTATGGAAGAATGTATGATGATTTCACACTACAACTTTCAAAAAGCCAATGACAATACCCTACTGAGTTGAAAAAATATGTTCTTGAATTGTGCATTTTGAATGTTTACTTCAAGACCCATTTAGGTACTTGTATTTTCTTCCCCCAATCAAGAAAAAAATGAATAATTATTTTAAGGGTAAATAAAAGATGGGACAAAACCAGGCAACATTTCATTCTGTTATGCATAAACATGCTGTGAATAGGAACCAACTCCATGGCAATTAACAAAAATGAATAAATAAACAAATAAATAATATATAAAAAGGTTGGTTGAAAAAAATCTCCATTGTTAATTTAAAAAAGTATCTCAGCCATAAAAGCTAAGGACTAAGGTCTCTCTTCCTTCATAAATTATATTCTCATATAAGGTGTTTTTAATTTAGACATACTTGAGGTTATTACCTTTATTCTTTTCCCACCTTCAATAATAAGAAATATCAATATCCTACTTTCACAACATACTTCACAGTTTACAACAGTTTCATTGACATGTTTGACTTTATTTATACCTTGGAAGTATTTCTGAAAAGAAAAATTCTCAATTTTACATGAAGCCTTCTACGATCCCTATCCCATTCACACCTGTGTGGTGTAAATGATTAAACATTCAACTATTAGCAGAAATGTTGGTCATATGAACCCACTCAAAGGCTCTTTGGACATTATGAAGCAATTCTAATATGACAAACATGGGGCTGTCATGAATCAGAATCAAATCAAACACAACTAACAACACTACCAACATGGAGACATTCTTTTTCTGATCATCCACAGTTACACAATCTACTTATTTATGCAAAATATGTATCTCTGTGCCATATATACATATATAACAAATGGAAAAAAAGAAGAAGAGTGGGGCCACCCACTTTTGAAAATTACTGGCCACTGAAAACATTATGAATAGCAGTGAAACACTGATATATTACTGATAAACTTTATGAACAGCAGTGAATAACAGTGAAACATCGTCTGATATATTATAGAAAGATGAGCCCCTCAGACTGGAAGTCACACTAAATACAACTGGGGAAAAGTTGTCTCCTCAAAGGAGAATTGATTTTAATGATGTGGATGGAGGAAAGCTTTCTTGACCTCCATTTGCTGATAAAGTAAAATGCGAGGCAACAGCTGAAAACATCTGTTAATAATCAGAACATGCAATGTATGAAGTACTAATCTAGCAAAATTGGAAGTTGTCAAAAATGAAATGGAACCTGTAAAGATATTCTAGACATTGTTGTTGTTGTTATGTGCCGTCGAGTCGGCCCCGACTCATAG